TGAGCTGACACTGGTGCCAGGGAGCCTGAAATGCCATTATGGTCTTCCAGTTAGAGTAGGGGCATAGGGAGGCCAGATAAAAATTATAGTTCTAGACCAAGTATGTTTCACAGGGGTACAATGGGTCTGTGGCCTTCCCTGTGATTGTATCCCCAGGCTCCAAATGAGTAATTGGGATGTATAAAATCTCCAAGTGTACTTTATAACTGGAAGAACCCTTGTGTTGGTTCCCTGATCTGTGAAGCCATTATGGTAGGAAGAACCAAATGGAAGCCTGGAAAATGCCCCACCCCCATCCACATGAACAAATCCAAAACAATACTACTTCCTAGGAAGAATGGCAGGGATTAGCACCACCACTTAAAGATTTAAAGGACACAGGGGTAGTAAACCCTGCATAAAGCTCTTCAATCTATTTAGCTCCTGCAGAAAAACAGATGGATCTTGGATAACAATGAACTACGGTAAACTTTAGCAAGTATGAGCACCAATTACAGTGGCCATGTCAGATATAGTTGCTTAATTGGAAGAGATCAACAGAATTCATGGCACTTGGTATGCCACTACCTATCTGGAAAAAATGGTCTTTTAAGTTCCCTTCAGAAAAAGCATGAAAGCAGTTGGCATGCACCTGAGGAGACCAACAGTTCAATTCACTGTTTTCCCCGTTGGCTAAACTAACTCTTATGTGCTCTATCAGAATGTAATGTGTAAGAAATATGTCTTGACATTTTGCAGAATATCATTATGGTTTACTATATTGATGGCATAATACTGACTGTAGTTGGTGAGCAGGAAGTGGAAATTATTCTAAGTTATCCTACCTAGGCACATTCAAACCAGAGAGTAGAAGATAAACCTCACAAAACTTTATGGTTCTGCCCTTTTGGTGAAGTTTTAGCTGATCTATTGTTTGGGACATGCTGGTACCAAAAAGATAAAGGTAAAGAATAAATCGGTACATATCAGAAGTGCTAGGTAGGCTTATTTAGATTTTAGAGACAGCATGTATTGTACTGGAGAATATTGCACCAATCCATTTATTGTACTTGAATGTTACCCAGAGCAATAGGTTGTATGTGCAAGCAGTTGTACAAGCTTGTTGGAAGCTTGGGCCCAGCGGATCTGATCATGGCTAGAAATACCTGTGTCCATGGATGACAGAGAAAAATACTCTGGCCTTGTTCACATATAGGTTAGGGTGGCATATTGATGGTAGCCATAAATAGACTGTTGTCACACTACTGCCACACTCATAGGTATCCCTAAAAGAATATGGTGAAGGGAAATCCTCCCAGTAGGAAGAG